AAGAGATTTCAAGGTCTTAGAAAAAAAACCACAACAAACTGTTTAAGGTTTAGAAATCAAGGAAAAAAGCTGCAGTAACAGAACAGTGCAATTATTTACCTCTCATTTTCCTTGGTGACTTCTTCAAATTTTTTTCTCATCTTGCTCATTTGTGCCTATCACAAAAACATGCAAGAGTAAGCATTCATTTAAGTAACACAAACTTTGGTAATTCTTTCAGCTTTTAATTCAGAGTGATAACGTAGAAGATGGACAATTTAGTTCAGCATAATACAGTAAGTGAAAGTCAATTTCTTTTTTTACGGAAGGTCATCGGATGCCACTTAAATTTAACAGCTGCCAAGTCCTGTTATACCTAAGCATTCAGAAGTTATTATGAGCATTAAACTTAATTTTGGAATTCTTATAGCTCTTACAGATTAATTGTTAATTATCTCAAGTTCTTTCAGGAATACAGTGGATAACTCTCATCATTTATTCAGTAAGCATTTGAGAAAAGAGTTTAGCAATTAACTGAGAAGAAACCTGAGTTACATGAATCAAATGTAACTGTTTTATTAACTAAATAGCGCAAGAAACCAATATTGTCTTCTGAAATTGGTCAAGCTTAAAGACTGCATTTGCAGAATCTTTATGACAAACAGATTAAACAAATTAAGGGCATTAAACCAAAACCAGGGTATAACTTCTGCATGTAGATCACAAGTAAAAATTGCTTTCTGTATGCAACAGGCTTTAATTATTAAACATATCATCTTGCTTTTTGGTGATCATAGGAAGCTTTAAAAAGTTTTATTTTTCTGTGGTTAAAAGGAGGACAGTCCCCCTCAACCTCAGCCTCCATGATAATAAACATTGAAAGAATGATTTGAATCTAAAGAATTATTAAGAAAGAACAATGCTGGGTGTATCTACACTTGCAGGACTGAGCTGGACTGCATGGCCAAGATCAGACTGTGAGGGGAAAAAGGGAAACGGCTGCCTCATCTGAAGGTCAGTGAGGAGAATACCTGCAACCATATCAGAACATCTAGAGAAAAAAACATGCACTTTTCACTTCACAACATTACTTCTCCAAACACACAGCAATCTGTGCAATTCAGACAATCTCCCAACCTTTTCATAGAAAGCTCTCTGTTCCTCTATTTGAGGCAACTGCAGTCCAGCAAGTTTGTGAAGCATAGAGCTGGCATAATTTCCTTTATTGATAAAAACTAATGACCTAGATACTAACGCTATAAAATACTAAGAATATTTTCTGAAATGTAAGGAACATCCATACCTGATAAAGCTGCTGCTGTTCTTTCATTTCTTCCAAGTGTTTATCATACTGCGTGATTAGAGCTGACAAGCTAAAAAAATTGAAAACCATGCTTCAAATAAATTTTGTAAATGCCAAAACATTGTTCTGATAATTAACTAGTTTTAAATAATTCTTGATCTAGAGAACAGAACAAAATAGTCACTCTTTCTTTATTTCCAAGCTCAACATTCACCAGAATAAATGAACAAATTAATTACTACTTTCAAAGTATGACCATTAACAGCATTTTTCCTGTAAAACAGAACTAGAACATGGGACGTTATAAATGAGCATTAATACAAGGTTAATATTGCATACATAGCATCCCAAATGATTAGAGACTAGGCTTTTTTACTGCTCGCACATACAACAGTAAAGTGGCCTATAATACAATTTAAAATAATGTAGTTCTACTTACAGACTTTTTCCTACTGAATATTTTTGTAATTGATAACAATTCTCTGAAAATTCTATATTAGTCTACAGCCTTAAAAACTAACAAGAAGTGATATGTTATTTTTATAAACAGGAAATGACAATGTTTATAAACAATTTACTAGTAGACAACCCTTAGATGAAGATTGTCAAACAAGCTTTTTAAAAAACATCCACCTGACCTCAACCAACAGCAGTTACCTGTGATACCGAGATCAGTATAAGCTTACCTGCACTTTTGTTTATTATCTTAAAATTTAGACTGGAGAATTCCTTTATTCGTCTCTCATCCCTTATTTTACAGATTGTGGAAGAAAAGTCATATATTTAATTTACTGAATAAATAGAATAATATCTAAAAAAAACAGCTACAGAGACCCTGTTCACAAGTTCTCAGAGCTCTGAACACATGTACCTAAGACCAGGTCCAGCTGGATATTTACACTTTTACAAGGACATGACAATTTCATTTGACTACTTTGCAGTATTCCCACTTATCACTTGGAATCACTTACCTTTGTTCCGGCATCCTGGGTCCTGATACGCCATCAATGGGGGCATTTTTCTGTAATGGTATACTTTATATATTAGTACTTGCACATGACTGCATGCAGTTTAAATTTTTTTATAAGAAACCCAAAGCTGTTGTTTTGCCTATATTGTAATCATACGCAATATACCACACGATCACTTTCAGGTTTATGTTCAAAAATCCTTGAGTGCTGGCCCAATTTAAAAAAAAAATATCTTTTTTCTTTTTCTTTTTCTGGAGATGCTCTGATATAAAGCATAATTGCATCTGAGGGGGAATCATCTGGCTCTTAAAAAAACAATCGTAAGTTTCTGTAAGTGCTAAGTTAATTTCCACACATCTCAGCCTCAGGGAAGTGCTCATGCCCTAGCTTCTGCACACTTTCAGACAGGCTCATAGCTTTTTGTGCTGGGTACTATCTCAGAACGAGACCAATCTCCTAGAAAAGTCTATAAAAGTGAAAAAGTCTACTAAAGTAGAATTCAAGTATTCTTTCAGGAATATGTTCTGCATGTGACAAATTTTTGAAAATGCACCAGAATTCATGGTTATGAGTTTTATTCTGCTGTTGCTGCTTGGAAAAACAACAAGTAACTCTAGAGCTGTGTGATGGCCCCAAAGCAAGGCGGGCCGTGTTCTATGTATGCAAAGATGTTTGTCACAAAAACTCATCACAACCTTCCATCCCTGAGTTTACATACCTGCTCATCAGTAGCTCTCAAAATCTCATCTGTTTCATACTGACCAAGTGCCATATTCTGCCTCTGATCTGAAAAATACAAAGTTTGAGAATCATAGCTACAGCATGGGCTGTTATTTACATAAATGTAACTGGCAGTCAGAAATATGTTTAACAGCATAGTGCTTTGAAGGTACACAATGTACATCATCAAATTATTCTATTTAGCATAATTATTAGAGAATGTCTTTTTATGTGTGTTACACACATTCAGCATTTTAGAACTTTGATTTCACATTCATGAAACAAGAGAAACACCAATCCATATCTCAGACTTAAAACAGGCCTCAAATAACTTATGTCTAAGTTGGCGTGCAAGCCAACTTCAAACTTGTAATTTGGCACCTTTCAAAACGTATGATTTTTTTTTTTAAGAGATAATTAAACTCCTTGATAGAAAAGCCAACTCTTACCACTTCACAGTGAATGTAGTCTGGGCTCTATTTAGAGCCTAAAGATTTATAAAATGAGAAGCTACCCAAACAAATTAAATACATATGAAAAAAATAAAACATCAATATTTGAAAATGCATGATTTGTTCACATCACAGTGTAATAAATGCTCATGCAAAGCTCGATATAGATACGGGCTTTTGAGCCAGGATGATTCTGTTGGCTCAGACAGAGCTTTTCTGCGACTAAAGTCCTCGGAATCAAGAGCTAGTCTTTCACCTCTGGCCACCTAAAGCTGTCATACAAAGTTTAGTATCAACTGAAAATCTGATTTTTGAGAGAAGCACAGCCATATCACGTCATGCACTCTGATCTTGACCTACTTCCCGCTATGCTATCAAGTTTTCCCACAACTCTGATTAGTGACAGGGACAGTAACTTTCTCGGGACAACTCATCAACCCATTCCCTATTTATAGGGATATAAACTCTTTAGAAGCAATTTTTGCCAGCTGGTAAGTAATTTAAGTGTATTCTGATTCAGTCATATTAAGCTTACAATGAAATTATCAGAATTGTAACACAGAACACTTAATTAAAAACACTGATAATAGCCTGCAAAGCAAATTCAAAGAAAGCAAAGAAAGACATCTTTTTTGCCTTTCAGGTGTAAGCCACGCATAGGAAATGCAGCTGTTTCTTAACTGAAGAGACATTATGATAGAAATGCATGTGTTTCTGGCTATTAATCTCACTAACAGCTTTTAATTATTAGTCTCCAGGTAACCGAAAAATAGTTTTGATGCTGTTACTCACCGCAGCAAACACCAGAAGAGCTACAGAACACAAATCTTCATGGCTACAACCACAGGCAAACGGGCTTCTACCCTCCCTGTGGCAGCTGACCCCAGCTCCCAGGGGACGGCATCCAGGCATCGGCCCTTCCACCCCCTCCCTCACGCAGCCCCGGGGCAGCACTCGGGCCATCCCGCTGTGCGCGGCCAGCCGGCGGGCAGCCCACACCCCTCGCTCGCGGAGACCTCACCTGGCTGTCCCCCACTGCCGAGCTCAGTGGCCATGTTTCCAGCGGAAAGCTTCAGCACCCCGCCGAGAGTGCCACCTCAGGAAAGCCGGCAAGCAGCCCTTTACTCCCGCCGCCCGCCGCCTTCCCTTCCCTCAGCGCCCGGCGCGCGGCCCAGCGGCGCCTGGGTCACGCGCCAGCGGAGCGGCGGGGAGGAGGGGCGCGAGCGGCCGCGTGCGCATGCGCGGCGGGGCGGTGTGAGGCGGCCGGGAGGGAGCGGGAGGTGGAGGCTGCGGGTCCGGTTGGGGTGCCGAGTTTCCTCTCGGAGAGGCGGTGGAGATGTAAGGAATGCCACGTTAAACTTCTCGGGGAGGAGGGAGGACTTAGGGGTTAACTGCGATAAGGGCTTTACGCCTTAAAATTCTCTTCAGGAAGCGCCGCCGCTGTTGCCGGCTGGAGGAGCTGGGGGGTAACCGCAACCGGGAGCAATTTCCACCTCTCTGAAATGAAGTTTTTACAGAAAAAGCTGCTGTTCTCCTACGCGGTTCCCGGCTTTTCCCTTGTCCTCCTGGAGCAATTAAGAAAAACAGCAGACTAATTACTTCCTCTTCGTTTGTGGCCCCGCCACCAGCGTCGGTGGGGCTTGGGAGGGAAGAGGTGGATCCTCTCGGCAGGGAGAGGCGTGAGGTGATGAGGGAGGGGGCTTTCCCTGGGCTGGTGGGGTCTGCGGGGCTTGGGGCCACGCCGTCGGAGTGCTGTGAAATGGCTGAGGAAGTACTTGCTGTAAAACTTACTTCATTTCACGTTTGCATCTCTTTACAGCGTATTAACAGCTGGCTGAGGTGTGGTGTTAAAAGGTAATGAAGGGTCTCCTCTTGCTCTTTACGCTATTGCTATGTGTTGCTGTTTTTATTATAATTGAAAAGTTTGCTAGTAACCAGCTTACCTAAGTCTATGCAATGTAATAAACTTAAAAGTTGCCACAAGGACCATTAATTTTGAAAAATCTTAGATCTGCTCTCCTCTAAATTGAGCAGCCTTAACACTAGGTAGACCTCTAATGAATACTAGTGGATGTTTTGCACTTTTCCCTACTACTTTATTTCTTTGTAAATTGCATGTTCTTCTATTCAAGAGTAATACTTGTTTACAACAATGGGGTAAATATTTAGTATGTTAATTTCAGTCAGCACACTGTAAGCTGGCCCTGCCAGAGTTAAGTTTTTTATGAATGATGTCATCTGCCTCTCATACAAGTACAAAGAGGAGTGTGTGATGCACCTTGGGTCTCATCTTCATTCTAGACACTACAGTTCAGTAGTGTCTAAAGGAGTTTAGAAGAGTTAAAGGAGTTTGCTGTCTTTTTTTTTTTTTTTTTAAAGCCTGGTATGTTGCAACTGCCCTTCTTAGGGCAGCTTTCAAATCTTGTATGCAAGGAGAAACTTCACGTTGTTTACTTTAGTCAGGAATTGTAATTTTCCCTGGATTTTAGCATCTCCCTGGGCTATTTCTATTAGAAGGCGATATAATTTTAAAACACTGTTAAAATCTGGCAATATTTCCAAATAGATGTTTCAGATATTTGCCTTGACTAGTAAATGTGAAGTGTTAAATGTATTAGAACAAACTGGAAATAGAATAATAGAAGGAAATGTTGACTTCTAAGTGCACAATGTGAATTTAATAGCGTAGTATAAAATGGTTCATAGTCATTTATTAACTTTCTTGGATGCACCCAGGTAATCAAACTTTAGTCTTTTGAGTAAGTGATCCTGCTTGTGGAATTCTGTCTTGTTTCTTCTCACAGTAAGTGCACATGAAGCATGTGCACTCCATTTACAGGAATTCTGTTCATCTGAAAAATCTCTAGGAAGGGTTTTACCATCTGTGGATACTTCATGCTCATGCTGCTCAGTGTTTGCAGCTTAGAAAATTGAAAACACACCACTTGCTTACATTTCCTGTGGATTAATATTTTTTTAGATCAATTTAAGGCTAAATAGCCTGTTGAATGTGTTTCAGCAGCTCTTTGTGTTGTGAAAGGAACTTCATATTTAACATTGCTCTTTTATTTGGTAGTGTACATTGTAATTATTGCAGAAAAGTTGTCACTGTTGCTTAGAATACTTTTTCTAACTAATTCTCTTTTTTTGTTTTAAACTGTGGGTGATTTAGCTTTGCCTGTTTGAGTTACTACTAACACTGGATTATGAACCATTTTCTGCTGGCTTAAGAATGCTTTTAGGACACTGTTGGGTGTCTTCCCTCACCATGCTTTGTACGCTATTTTCTTTCAACTTGCTTGCTTCTTGTCATCTAGCTTCCGGAATCTTGCCACTTGAGTTGGAGTGAATGTTAATGATGGCAGCAGAGTCTTTCATAGTTTCTAGGGCTATCCCAGGTCTCTTGCATAAAGCACATGTGGTGCTTGTCTAGAATATCACACAGTTAAAATGCTGATGTAAGAATTTAATCAGTTTTGGCAAAGTTATATTTGAATAAGCTGAAAAGTGATAGTCTAATATTTGACTTTCCTTTTTTACTGGAATTCTCAAATTAAGGTGTCTAATTACTAAATCTCTTGTTTCAGATTTTCTCTAATCTCTCACACTTATTTTGTCACATCATCAGCTCCTTGATTGTACACATATCTACTTGCCTAACTTCATTCTTGCTATTTTAACAACTTGAAATCCAAGAGAGGAACTCGCTTTTCAGCATGAACATCAGTGAAAGGAAACTGTCTGGTGTGACTGTAACAGACACGGTTAACGTGTAGCCATAAGAGCAAGGCCGTGGCATATAGGGAAGCCTGATGCATGTGGTTACGTTCTGTCTCGCTTATTACACTTGTTGATAATTCCCGCAACATGCAGTTAGTTATGCTTACCTTTCTGTGAGCCCCAATAAAATGCCTGTGTGGGTAGAGACTTCAGAGTGATTTGTAACCATGCAGGTATAAAAATCTGTGAGAAGCATTCATGTAACTCTTTATTTAGTTGCTTTATAAAGCTAGACTATTTCAGTTCTTTTGGTGTGTTAAGATGTGATTTGATGATTGACAGTGTACTTTTTTTCATGGCCAAGCAAACAGTGCAGTTGGTGCTGAAATGGAATCGGATCTTCTCTGACAGCCCTTCTTTCTTGTTCATGTAGTATAGGAAGATGGAATTTACAATTAAACACACATGGGATGGTTTTCCAGTGAGCCATGAGCCGGTAACAATTGTGCTGAAGTCAGACAATGCAGGACTGCTAATGGAAGTTACTGCTCCCTTCTTTAATGATCCTCCAGCACCACTTGGAGAGCCAGGGAAACCTTTTAGTAGACTGTGGGACTATGAGGGTATGTGTAACTTTTGTGCAGTAAATATATATGATTTGTGTAGTCACTGATATTCCTCTGTAGTTAATATGTCTGGTCTTTATTTAAGAGTCTATGATGGTTATTTTTTCAAACTGAGCTAACAGTTGTGAGTGTGTGACATCTAATTCAATTCAGTTGCTTTGGTCACAGTACTGCCTTTAAAGGGCAGATCTGAAACTATAAGTGAAAGTTTTCCTTTCTGCTGTATCCTAAGCAGTTTGTCAAGGAATGCTGGGAAAGAATTTAGTTGTAATCACTGCCTTACCCTTAAACAGCTGTTAAGTAACTTAAAGCCTCATGCTATATTCAGCTGAAAACTACCCCAAACTATGTCGAAAGTGATACTCTTTTTGTAGGTGGTGAATTGATTTTCATCACTAGCACTGCTGACTGAGTGGTTGTTCTGTAGTAGAGCAACAATACAAGTGACTGGGAAAAGAAGCAAATATGTTATGTCACTTGGTGGCCACAAAGAAACGGAATTCAATGAGCTGGATTGATTTCAAACTTAGTTTCCGAATTACTGATATAACTTGGGAATAACAGAGGCTTCACATATTTGAATATCAAAATAGTTTTGTGGCATATATAAAAATGCATTTGCAATAGGTAAATAGAAGTGAAATCCTAGATGTGGGTTCTGCTTTTGCTTTAAGAAGTAGAGAGCAATAGCTAAAATAGATGTCTATTTAAATCACTTTTCCAAGGCCTGTTTAAGGTATAGGAAGATGTGAAACAAATAAGTAGCAGCTCATAAAATATGATTCAAAATTGTACCCAAGTGGAATGAGGAATATACTTATAGGAATGCTGTTTTTTCTCCTTTTCTGTCAATGCTGTCAGTTCTACCTATTGCTTTGAATAATGCAAGAATTTAATGTTTCCAGCAGTTCTCTACTTCCTGATTATTGAACTATTGTGATTAAAGCTCCGCTAAAACAGTATTAGCACTCCTTTGACATTGTTATATTAAACAGGTTTATGTAAAAATAAAAGAAAGTTATCAATCATATCTAAACATATTTCTAAGTAAAGCTTTCTAATAATATAATTGCTGTGAGAAACACCACTATAGTTCTACTTTGTGCTCCTGAAGGGTGATTCAATAGTCACACATGGTTATCAGGCACACCTGGAACAGAAATCCCCTGTCCAAAGCATCAGCCATCTATAGGGAAAAAGCATTTAAGAGCTAAATCCTTTCTTACTGTTTCAGCCATTTAGCAGTCTTAGTTATGGGCTGTGTGCTCTGCTGTGAGTGTATGTTCCTCTTCTCATTTTTTTTCCTCCTCTGGTGCTCTGAACCCTCAGGCTACCAGCAAACATACAACTTCTGCACTTAAGTGCTCTACCTGGAGTGCCTGCTGTGAGTATGATTGACTAGGGTCGCTTTGTCTCGGTCAGCTTTGTTCACAGCAAGCATACTAGGTGAAATAGTTGTTTGCTGATGCTTTTCTTACTCCATGGGCAGCTAACACGTAACATGTAGTAAACTTGCTGTATTTTTCTGCTGCGTCAAGAGAAGTGTTTCCAAAGCTGTAATTGGTAAATAAAATTAGTAGAGTGCTTTATAAAGCTCTTTGTGATGATAGGCATTGAAAACGAAAGCTCTTGAAGTTATAGTTATGACACGGCATTTCAAATAGGAAGCTTTTAGTAGCACACACACAGGTAGTCAAGCTCTGGTATGGCACAAGCCAAAAATCACGAGAACGTAAATATTTTTGTGGGATATGAAGGTCTCAGGATATTAAAAATAGTTAATATAAAATACTGATGGCCTTTTTTTTTTAAGTTGTAGAAGCGTTTTTCCTGAACGACAGAACTGAACACTATTTAGAAGTTGAACTTTGTCCGTAAGTACGACAGTAAAAAAGTCACAAGTGTTAATTTGCATTTCCAGTGCTAATGCTTGTAAGCTATATGTATGAGGAAAACTCGGTACAGAAATTCTTCCAATATGGGGAATGTACATTTTTGTGGCAGAACAGTATAATAATAACTTGGCATCGTTTTAAGAAAATTTCGCTTTGATTTCTTGACAGCCATGGACAACACTTGTTGCTGCTGCTTTCTGGCAAAAGAAGAGTATGGAAAGTAAGTGGTCAAGTACATTCATAACGTACAGAAAACTAATTGTTTTTAGGTAACTGTTGCCTGATTGGAAGGTGACATTATCTCTCTTTTATTTCTTTTTTTTTCCTTCCCTTTTAACAGGAAGAACTTCCTTTAGAGTTTGAGGTGACCAGAATGAAAACCAAATGGGAGGGTAAAGCTCATCTTCCTTGGAATTATTTTCCACCATCCATGAACAAGTTCAATGCATTTGCAATTCATGGCTCAGGAGAAGAGAGAAAATATGAAGCGCTTTATCCTGTGCCTCAACATGAACTACAGGAAGGACAGAAACCAGATTTGTAAGCATAAAATTAGTTCTTTTGTAATATAGTAGTGCTATTATTGGAATACTTAAAAAAAAAGCTAATCTGGTTTTCAGATTGAGTGCCACTAGTATTTTAATTATACTGTTTAGCTCCAGATCTGTTGGCACTGTACTTTGTAGAAAGCGCTGTGTTAGATAGCTGTAATTAGTGCTTGATTTCTGTGTTATCCCCTAGGTGCATAGAAAACGATGCATTCAACACCACTGGCATCTGTTTTATCACCTTCCTCAGCTAAATCATAGATAGGTTGTTCTACTTTTTCCTTGCCTCCAACACCTCCTGAAATGCCATTTAGTGTTAATTTCACCCGATAAGTTTCCGGTAAATCTCTTTTGTGTCTCCCCTACTGTTCTAAACAACCTCACCTCTACAGATAGTTCCACATTACAGAAAAACTTGAAAAGGCAGACTAAACTGTAAAGTATAATAAAAGGATGCCCCGTATCAATAGAAAAACTATAATATCTTGATTTTTAAATTGTGCTTTGCACCTGTTTATTTTCTTTGACTGTGAGGCTGAGATGATTTAATAAAAGCTGCTACTTCGGGACATTTTGCATAAATGGACTAGCTCTACAGGGTGCACTGTAATTCTTATGCAAACTTATTACTCAACATACAATGACAGCCAGGTAAGGTAAATTTTAGATAAGTTACCCTTTATTTGCCTTCATTTTAGAAAAACTTAGCTTCTGTCACAGTTTATTTAAAAAAATTTAAACAATCCTTAAAAAATACATTCTCTTTACCAGCGTTCCATAAGAAATAGATACTTTCATTTTTCTGTAATAAACTGGAGAATGCCTATAATATTTTTCAGGAAGGGATTCTTTCTATTCTTTCCATAGTGTCCCTTCCAAAAAAAACCCCTTGACTTCTTTAGACATTGGTAGCAGATGCAATTATTTGAAGAGGCTGCTCCTTGCTACTTTCATTGCTCTTAGTTTGTCTTTACTCTTACAAATTGCTTCCTAATAAGAGAATTCCAGTTATCTTGTTAAATGATTAGTGTCAGATGTTCTGTCTACTGTTTGGCAGTTGTTTAGTGCAAGTATTAATTAGCAATTGGCTTCAGTTTCTTTCTTCTATTGCTTCTGCATGGTAGCCTAAAGGAGAAATTCTTAGCAAGAAGTGATTCATAAAATCTAAAGAAAACAAGACTTCAAGTCTTCCTACTAGCTTCATCATCCTATCCAGTCTTCCTCTTTTTTGTACTGTATCACTCCTGTGATACAGTTTTTCAATTAGTCAAGAATTGTGAATTTTTACTCTATCACGGGCAACATAAATTGAGGGAGTTTAAAAGGTGGGTGCTTTGTTAACTTCACTTCATGCTGTGTGATACCAGTTCATCGCTGCAGATTTTGCCCTGTGTTTTCCAGTACAAGAAACAGAGTAGTGTTTTTTATTTATAAACTCAAGCAAAGGAGATGCTGGTTGCATTCTTGTCCATGAAAACCTGAAAATAAAGGTTAATTAAACATATTAAGGATACTGCCTTTTATTAAGACACATATTACAAGACTTAGAACTTTTTTGTGTATTTCTCCTCTCTTTGCAGCCATCGCCTGGATTTTTTCAAAGATTTGAACCTGAAGGAACTAATGGGAGAAGACTGGAAGCAGCCTGAATCAGATATATGGAAGTCTCTTATTAATTAAAGGGATCAAGGCATAAATTTTTATAGCATTAAGGTTGGATGAAGCTGTATGGAAACAACTTCTTCATTCTGAGCAGAGTTTGTAACTGTAAGATTGTTGTCAAGGAAAGCCTTACTAAAATCATTGATTAATCTTAAAATCAGCTGAAGAGCATCTGGGCTGGTTGATTCGAAATGTGTGACGTTTGCAACAGCATTTGTTTCAGTTCATCAGGCTATGAAGTTTTTCATCTGTGCAAGAGATGAATCTGCTCCTATCGATGAAGGGGAGACAATGTGCTAAAATTACAGCTGTGTTTTCATGAGAGCTCTAAGACTGACATGGCCAGTATCTGGCTTGGAATCTTTCAGTACCCTGTAGTTGCTGCATTTCTGCGGTATTTTCATTGCTGCTTGTTTGTTTCTTGGCTGTTGAATGAGATTCGTATGTGCCTAAATTTTTTGATTGCAATCAGGAGAAAGAATGCCTCCTTCAGGAACAGAGAAGAATGTAGCTGCCATGGCATTTTGTGGCCCTGTACTTGCATTGCAAGATGCTGTGGAGGTATAACTGCCCTTTCCTATGAAGTTTTCCCTTGCACAGTGCTGAAGAGGGAACTTAATCTGTATTACTTTATTAGCAGACCTCTGTGCTTCAAATTCAGTGCTTCAATTTCTAGTGATATTTAGGTACAGAGGATAGATTTACATAGTTTTATGTATTTCAGGAAAAATTTCTGGGACAAATAATGTTTTGTAAAACCTTTTGATATAATTGTGGGCCTACGAAAGCTTGTTTGTTCCAAGACCTTGTCATATCACCTTAAGGATTCAGCTCAGACATATGAGAATTTTGTTTGCGTGCCACCTAATGTTGGAAATATTCTAATTGTATGTGCCTACATTTTCTACATATGGGCATGAATATTTTTAACAGTACGGAGTGCTGTTGGATGGTAACTTCTAATCTGTAAACTCTCACAGTATTTACAAATTAGATGTGCCTTTGTTGTATAGCATAGTAACTGCTGCTTGATTGTGGTTGCTGACTTGATCCTATATAAATTAACCTAGAAAATAGGAAGCTTACCCACTAACCAGATCCTATATCTGAAAATTAGGTAACTTAAAAATCAAACTACTTTGGTTTAGCTTAGAATGAGGACTCAGACCCAGACATGGTCCTCAGTCCTTTACTAGAAAGAGGAGTTTCTGCATCCTGTTTCTGCATCCTGATGATACTCTTCATCCTCACAGGGTAGAAGCTCATCATATTCTCTAGTTTTGTGAGAAGGATTGTTTTGGGAGTGTGAGAGACTGTGCCTCAGTCTAATTGAGGCAATATGTTTCAGAAGTTATGCCCCGAGGTTGTGGTGTTGGGTCTCATCCTTTTGTGTAGTACCTTCTACTGAAGGATTTAGAATCTTTCAAGTTCCTGGGAGAGACTGGTGTTCTTGCAGTCTAGCATCCTGCTCAAAGCAGGGTTATTGTTGAAGCTAGATGGGTTTGCTCAGGGTCTTGTCAAGTTTTGAGTAACTCCAAAGATGGAGCTTTAAATGCTCTGGGTATCCTGTTTCAAGACATGACTAGTTCGGTTATGGAAACTTACCTAATTGCCATTTCCCGTGCTGCAACTTATGTCCATTGCCTTTTGTCCTTTCGCTGTGCATCTCCAAGAAGAGTGGTTTTTCTTTCTCTACAACTACTGATTAGGTAACTGAAAATAACTGTTAGCTTCCCATGGATTTCTTTACGTGTCAATGGTAAGCACCTTCCACTCAGGTAACACTGGCAGACAACTTAAAGGTGTAACTTGGGTTGTAACTCGGAGGCAGCGATGCTTCCAGGCTTGTTGTTTATTTAGCTCATAAATGGTTCTAAAATTCTTCTGTGTAGCCTTAGACAACAAAATGCCTGTAAAGTTTTGCACAGGACTGCACTAAATCATATTACTAAAAGAATTATCTGTTGTCTTCTGAGCTTGTGTGCAGTAATAAGCATAGTCTGATGGTCGTGTTTTCTTTGCTGTCTTTAACTTTATCTGTAAATTCTGTTGAAGAAAAGAAGAATATTCTACCCTTGTGAAGACCATCTCAGGGTGATTAATATCTGAGATACTACATTACTTCAGAGTTCTTGTTTGACTTTAGACTCCCTCTTTGTGCTATAAGTTTTACAGATCTATACATTCAAATGTAAGGATATTAAGTTTTTTCAGGTGTAGACTTTGGCATGTCAGCGCACTCAGCAATCCAATTGTTTTTACTTTCTTTTAATTAGACACTATAGATTCCTTGCTATAAAGTGCCATCTGTTGAAAATTAGAAGTATTGTGCATTTGTTTGGCTTTTCCATCTTCAATCCATGTACAGTTTTCTAAAGAATGACATGAGTCTGAAATATTGAATAATCCAATAAATGTTGATTTAACAACATCTCTAGATACTGGCATTTCAAAGCTCCTTTTGAAATTTCAGTCAAAAGCAAAAAAAAAACCCACTAAACTTTTAGACTTTATTTTAAAGTTTGACAAAAAAAATGCATACAAAGGTTCAAAATCAGTTTACTGTTTTTCTCACAAAGTTTTTTTTCATGTGATGAATGATGTTCTGTATGTAAAAGACAGTAAACGAAATTATTTATTTAGAGGCTTCATTCCCATTTCAATTGACTACTTCAGATTTGACTTTGCATGCAAATTATAAAGTTTTGAGGGAAATAGATTACTTTCCCTAAATAATTTAAAGGAAAAACAATTGTTGCGCAGTACAAAATGTAATGCTTGATGCTTCTGGAAATGGGAATTATCGTATAGACTTTATTCAGTGCACTTCCTACTCCACAGTGCTCTTGGGTAGTTCTCTTGTATGTTCCTAAGCTTTAAGAGAATGTTTGAACTGTAAGTGCTGGCTTTCATCAGAAAGTTTCCATATGGGTTCATGGAGTGCAGAGTTAAAACCTGTGCACTGACTTGTTTCTAAAGGTTTAAAGTTGAATTAATCCCCTGGTAGAAACTTGTATGAGGGAGTCTCAGCTTAGTGCATATGTTAGATGAAGTGTCTAGAAGGCACAGTGTCTTGGCACACAGTAGTGAATTCATGGCTCATCAATGGACAATACAGTGCTTGCCAGCATCACTTAAAGCTCCCAGGAGTTTGCAGGGATGGATTTATAGAGAGGAAGAGCCAGTCCAGAGCTTTCTTGCTCTGATCTGCTTTGGAATTTTTTTTTTTTTTTTTTTTTAATACTGTGGCATCCCATCGTAGCCTCTCTTTCCTGAATTGTCTCTCTTTTTTGATGTCATGCAAACATGAGGAAAAGACAAAACAAACTCTGTTCTGCTTGAATTCTATTTAAGTACTTGTTCATTAATTATTAATCCTGGTTTAGGGGTGTAATTCAATCCAGTCTAACTCAGTGTATGTGTGTATATACATGCATACATATATATAGACATTCAGCACTGTGCTGGTTTTGCATGTCAAAGTATCGTGAATAACATAGATAAATTCTTTAAATTGTCACACTGGATATACTTTATGTAGGATATCAATTTGATAAAATGCAGAGCTGTATGATAGAAAGCATAGATCACACAAGCACTCTATCCACTTTTAAGTGGTTTTAAACCCTTCAAACCTGTAAGCACTACTTAGCCATTGCTCTCAAAAAAAAAATAAAAAAAAAATCAACCTGTCTCAGAAATGTTTCCTGTGGATAATATGTAGCCTTGTGTCAGTTATATCATGTGACATACTGAGTCTAAGATTCAGGATTTTTATTACTTTGGAAATGGAGGAATACGCACTGGGTGCTGCACAGTATTTCATTTTGATTTATTTTTTTTAGCTCTGCAAAGGCTTTAGACAACTTTCAGTGTGACACTTTCACATGTGAAAATCTTAATGTCGTGGCAGTATTTAATTATTTCACCATATTTAGTGAGAATTCCTAAGGAAATGAGGCTGTTGAGTTATTGCTACTGTCTTTCCTTTTTGACAATGTTGTCACCACCTTTTCCCCCCACTGCCACAGTAATTTTTGTATCGATTGTCTGTTCCTGATTCAGCTGAAGTTGGCTAGTCTCTAAAGATACTGTATTCTTGCAAAGCGTATGGATGTGAACAGCTGGAGGCAGTTCCTCCCAATAGCACCAAAATTGAGACCTCATCTCTTATCCCTTATCCTGTAGCTGAAATGCCCAATACTGGAAGCAGTAGGTGTATGCTTAACGGCAGCTGTAGTGACTATAGCCTCTTACTTTTAAACTTTGATGAGGGAACTAGGAAATGAGTGGAACTTAAGGGATATGAGATGCTGTCACAGAGGTAGGCTTAGATTTCGTAGACCTATGCCCTTGTGTTATCTTAAGGAAGGAGGCTTAGGAGCTGGAGTGTATGTATATTCAGCCTGGAGAAGAGAAAGCTCTGGAGAGACCTTATAATGGCCTTCCAGTACCTGAAGGGGGAGTGTAGAGATAGCATGATGGGTAATGGTTCTAAACTGATAAAGGGGAGATTTGGATTAGGTATTAGGAAGAAATTCTTTCCTGTGAGGATGGTGAGACACTGGAACCGGTTGCCCAGAGGAGCTGTGGATGCCCCATCCCTGGAGGTGTTCAAGGCCAGGCTGGATGGGGCTTTGAGCAACCTGCTCTAGTGGGAGGTATCCCTGCCCAAGGCAGAGGGGCTGGAACTCGATGATCTTTTAGGTCCCTTCCAATCCAAACCATTCTATGATTCTAGCAAAATAAAAATGTATGAGCAGTCATATTTTCTTAGTCCTGCTGTTAAAAGATACAGGATGTAGTAAATATCCAAGCATGTTTTCAAGGGCGTAATTTTTAGATCTTTTTAATTTTTTTTTAAACTTGGGGAAATAATTCCCCTGTTTCTGTCCTTTTTCAGGAGAAGATCCAACACAAAGCATAAGGGATGGATTTTCCTCACGTTTAACGTCGGGGTTAGTTGAAAACATGAGGACGTAGTGTCAACTTGTTGTTGCCTCTGAAAACACACTTATGGTTAATCCATGTTCTAATTCACTACGTTCTGTTGTGGGAGTGCTGATCCTAAAGAGAAGCAGAATGTGAGCTTGAAAACATTGCTCTTCCTTAGAGTTCCAGGTGAGATAGTGGATATTCTCTTGCTTACTTAGTGCCCAATACCAATAGGCTTGTTTTTTCTACCGTGACCAGAGAATTCAACAGAAACATTCAATTGGTTCTTACATTCTGCTACAACCAACCCCTGGTCTCTAGGACAATATAATTATCTGTTTTAGTTTATATTATTTGTAGTATTTGTTTTAGTGTTTTTACTTTAATGAAATGCCAAGCAGTTTTGCTGTAATGTGTTTGGGTTTCTTTTTATTTTCAAATCTTCATAGTGAATGCTTGAGCAGTTGAGGCAGAATGCAGATTTGGATAGCTGCAACCTCTTACTTAGGAGATGATCAGACTGAATAACCTGGAAAACAAAAATACTGAGCTTGACGAATGGAAAATATACCTGTAAAAAGACCTTAGGCTTGTTTCAAGAATTCTCTCGTAAGTGTATTTCTAAGCTCCGTGTGATAGTGTGTTTATTACTTGTGAACTTAAATGTGAAAACCAGATTTCTAAATTACTCTGAACCTCCTTATAACATCAGTGAATCGTTACTGAGTTGGTTTCAAAAGGTCTTATGACTACAGTCTGAAAGACCTTGTGTTTTATGCTTCTTGCCACTAGGTGGAAGAAGAAGGTTATCAAAAGTATGCCTTGGTGCTACCTGCCTAGTTATCCTCACCCACATTCACTCCTTATCTTACTATATCCGTGATTTTAGAAAAAAGACATTACAGTCAAGCTGATGATGGCTTATTTTGATTTTTTTTAGACATCTTTATCAAAAGAAACACTATGCCATGCAGTTTAGTTACAGTTCTAATGCTCCTTTTCCTACAGTAGTATTTCTATAAATAATTTTGAGACAGTTAACAGAAAATAAATTCCATGAGGTGTCAGTCTGTAATATGAAAGACAGTGTTGTGATACACAACTTATTTGAATATTCTTTTGGAGTTTTTTTACAAGTGTCTTGAATAGTCTCTTGCAAAAAGGCTATATTTAATCCTGAAGGAATATTTTGGTTTTTTAAATGCAGCCTGGTTTATAAGAGATGGTGCACCCCTTCAAGGGTGAGGCTTGAATGGTGCAAACACTCTAAGTGAAGCCTAGAAGAGAGGAATGTGGAACAGTGAAAAGCTGTAGCCCATGAGGTACGTTCTTCAATAGAAAATGTAAAAAGAAAGTTTTCTTTAAAGAAAACTTGAGTGGTAACGTGTTCTACTAGCAGAAGTGATTTGTGTCTCAAATGCAAAAATGGAGCAACTTAAGCTGTTAGGTATCGTAGGTGATGTCACATGTAGTGACACTGTAGAATTTGTTATGTGGTTGGTTGGGTTTTTTTAATGCAAAAGCTCTGAGCAGGAATAACATTTTGCTGATGCTTTTGTATACTTTTTAATAATTTTCTCTAATATTCAAGAGCATGTGACCGAGTAAATTCGAACGTCATGCTGAATTATATATGTTTGCTGTGGCTGCTATAGCTACTGTGTTATCTGTTCTAGTTAACTGACTCACATTTCTAATAAGTTAATATTTGTACTGCCCAGCACTGTGGTGATACGATACTGATGAAGGTGATGTGAAGTACTGTGGTGCTGTTCCTTGTTCTCAGACTGAGGTGTTTTGTTCCTCTGAAGGGCACAGCACAGAACGTTTGTTGTATTTTAAATTCTGGCAATGTAAAATGCTTTCAGAATATGAACGGTACAGTGCATAATTTGTTGCAAATAAAATTTAACACTATTATTTCACACTGCCAAAGCTGTCTCTAAAGTGGACAACATTGCATTTAATTATAGTGCATTTATAAGAATGCTGTTGAAGTTTGATAGCTAACCTGCATGTTTCTATTGATGATTCCTTCCTTTTGCCTTTTGTGAGTGCTTTAGTTTAGTACAGTGTCTCTGAACAGTGCTTCAGCAAAAGTACTGGAAAGTGCTTTAAGCCTGATTAAAGAACCCTTATTTACACTGGTTGTATAAACAGCTATACACATGCTCATACAAATAGTCCCAGTGAGCTCAATGCAACAGTTAACATAAAGTGTATCGCAATTAGGCTTTCTTCTGTCTACTTGTCTATCTGTTGAAATTAGTATCAGTTTTATCTGGAGAATTTAGTTCTAGAAGCTAGTTCTATCAAGAGTACTGCTTGGCTCTGCTTGTTTTCTTTCCTCTGGTTTAAAACAAGCAAAAGCCTTAGCTGCAGGGTCTGTGGGAGGGTTTTAAGTGATGGTTCAGGAGGCTCTCTTTGTCTCTGCACTAGCTATGAACAGACCAAAATAAGTTCATGATTGGTTTTCAGAAATAATGCTATATGTGT